GGAGTGGACCAGAAGAAAGCAAATAATGGCCAAACAGAAAAGAGTCAAGAAGCAAGAATTCAAAGAAATGAGGAGAGTCTTAGGAACCTCCAGGACATCTTTAAACGCTCCAACATCCGAATTATAGGGGTACCAGAGGGGGAAAGGCACAGCCACCAGTGGAAAACTTATTTGAACAAATAATAAAGGAGAATTTCCCCAATCTGGCAAAGGAAATAGACTTCCAGGAAATCCAGGAAGCTCAGAGAGTCCCAAAGAAGTTGGACCCAAGAAGGAACACACCAAGGCACATCATAATTACATTAGCCAAAATTAAAATGAAGGAGAGAATCCTAGAAGCAGCAAGAGCTAAGGGGACAGTCGCCTACAAAGGAGTTCCCATCAGACTGTCAGCAGATTTCTCAAAAGAGACCTTACAGGCAAGAAGGGGCTGGAAAGAGGTATTCCAAGTCATGAAATCCAAAGACCTACAACCAAGATTGCTCTATCCGGCAAAACTTTCATTTAGAATGGAAGGACAGATAAAGTGCTTCTCAGATAAGATCAAATTCAAGGAGTTCATCATCTCCCAAGCCCTTATTATATGAAATGTTAAAGGGACTTATCGAAGAAGAAGAAGTTAAAGAAACATGAACAGTGAAAGGACAACAAACTCACAGTTATTAACAACCACACCTAAAACAAAAGCAAACTAAAAGGACAGCTAGATCAGGAGTGGAAACATAGAAATGAAGATCTCAAGGAGGGTTAGCAGCAGGGGAGTGGGAGGAGGAGAAGGGTGGAGAAGGTACAGAAAATAAGTAGCATAGACAGTAGATAGAAAATAGATGGGGGGGGGCAAGAATAGCATGGGAAATATAGAATCTAAAGAACTTGAGACACATGGACATAAACTAAAGGGGGGGTAATGGTGGGGACGGGGGGTAGGATGGAGGGGAATGAAGGGGGGAATAGAACAACTGTAACAGCATAATCAATAAAAAAATTTTTTTAAAAAGAGCTAAAACTATAAAAGTTTTAGAAGAAACCATAGGTATAAATCTTCACGAGCCCTGGCTGGTGTAGCTCAGTGGATTGAGCACAAGCCTGTGAACCAAAGGATCATGGTTTGATTCCCAGTCAGGGCACATGCATGGGTTGCAGGCCAGTTCCCAGCAGGGGATACACGAGAAGCAACCATACATTGATATTTCTCTCCCTCTCTCCTTCCCTTCTCCTCTAAAGATAAATAAATAAAATCTTTAAAAAAAAATCTTCATGACCTTGGGTTAGGCAACAATTTCTTAGCTATGACACCAAAATCACAAGCAGTAAAAGAGAAGTTTGGTAAGTTAGACTTCATAAAAATTTATAACTTATATGATTCCAAGGGCACCACTGAGAAAGTGAAAAAGGAAAGTGAATGGGAGAAACTATTTGTAAATCATACAGGAACTTCAATAAAAGACCCTTACACCTCAATGATAAAAATACAAACAATCCAATCTAAAAATGTGCAAAGGATTTAAATAAACATTTCTCCAAACATGTATATAAATGGCAATAGAAGATGTTCAGTATCACTAGTCATTAGGGAAAAGCAACTGAAAACCACAATAAAATACCAATTTGCACACATAAGATGGCCATAATAAATAAGAAAGACAATAAAAAGTGTTGGTGAGGAGAAATTAAAACCTTCATACATTGCTGGTAGTAATGTAAAATGGTATAGCTACCTTGCAAAACAGCTTGGCAGTTTCTCGAATGTTGCACATGTTGAGTTACCAGCAATTCTACTTCTTGGTATCTATCTACCCCAGAGAAATAAATACCTATGTCCACATAGAAACTTGCATAAAAATGTTCATAAAAGCATTCATTATTCATAATAGCCAAAAGTAGAAACAACGCAAATATCCATTAACTGACAAGTGGATAAACAAAATGTGGTTTATCCACTACAATGGAATATTACTGTCATAAAAAGGTACAAAGTGTTGATACCTGCTACAACATGTATGAACCTTAAAACATAATGCTAAGTGAAGAGAAGATAACTGCACTAGACCACACAAAGTATGATACCATTTACAGGCGCCGTCCAGAACGGACGAACCCAGAGACAGAGTAGGTGAGCGCAGGGGACAGGCAGGGAGCATGAAGTGATTGCTAATGGTACCAACTTTCTTTGGGGGGGCATGAAAATGTTCTAAAATTAGATGATTATGCTAAAGCCACTGTATTGTTCACTTTAAATGGGAAAGTTTTATGGCTTGTATAGGTCAATAAATCTTTTAAGATTTCGGGCCAGGTCTCCAGCTCAGGGTGTATGAGAGGCTGCCGATTGGTGTGTCTCTCACCCACTGATGTTTCTCTCCCTCTCGTTCTGCCTCTCTTCCCCTATCTCTGAAAGTAAATAAGTAAAATATTTTTAAAAAAGATTAATGGCAAAGAGTAGTGTTGGGGCTTGAGGTAAGTTAATATATGTAAATGTATTTAGGACAGTTCTGGCTGCATGGTAAGTCCTCCGTAAATTAGTGACCATCCTTTCCCATGCTGCAGGAAGGAGGAATAAATTCTACTGGCTTTTCTTACATGATGGGATAATTAAGTTAGAAGAACTGTCCATGGATAAGTATAGCATGATATACTTTCGATCACGTAGAAAAACAAATTATGAGAGGGTTTCCATAGTAATACATAAATATATGAGAAGTATAGAATAAGGTTGTATTGCCACCTGCAGAGTCAGCCTCCTGGGGCATGGAGCAGGCACAGAAGGACAGAGAGTGGAAAAGCAGGGAGACAGCAGAGTGGGCGCACTCCTGACTCCTCGGTCTCTGCCCCCAGCTCAGGTCTGCCTTCTGCACTCGAGACCTGCGTGCACTGCCTGATAGTGGTCACTAGCCACGGGTGGCTATTTAAATTTAAGTTAATCAGAATGAAAACTTTACTTCCTCAGTTGCACTGGCCATTTTTCGAATGCTCAATAGCCACCTTATTTGTGCAGCCCAGATAAAGAGAGTCCTGTTGGACGGTGGGTGCTGCCTATACCCTTTAAAAAGTGTCCTTTTATATTGTTTTAAAGTTGGCTCATACCATGTTAAAAATGGCCCAGCTAAAATTCCCATTCAAAATTCCCTTTCCCCCCCAGAAGGGGCCCTCTGGGAAATCTCAAATTTAGTTTGAGGTCAAAAGACTCCATTCAGAAATTGATTTGGGGAAAAATAGCAAAATGTTTGAACATCTGATTAAATAGGATCACTGGTCATTATAAAATAATGCTGAATTATTTAGCCAAAGTGACAATAGAAGGAGTTTAGAGATAAATACATAAGGTTATGTAGTTGTGAACAAAACTTAGCTGTTTTAATATTCAAAAGACTTTTTAAAAAGATTTTATTTATTTATTTTTAGAGAGAGGGGAAGGGTGGGAGAAAGAGAGACAAACATCCATCTGTGGCTGCCTCTCCTACATCCCTGACTGGGGACTTGGCCTGCAACCCAAGCATGTGCCCTGACTGGGAATCCAGCTTCGACCCTCTGGTTCACAGGCCTGCACTTAATTCACTGAGCCACACCAGCCACAGCAAAAGACTGTTTTAAATTGTTTTATTGATTATGCTATTACATTTGTCCTGATTTCCCCTCCTTTGCCCCCCTCCACCCAGCACCTCCCACTCCCTCAGGCAGTCTCCCCATCACCGTTCATGTCCACTGGTCATGCATATAAGTTCTTTGGCTACTGCATTTCCTATATTGGACTTTATATCCACATGGCTGTTCTGTAACTACCCATTTGTACTTCTTTTTTTAAAAATATTTTATTTATTTATCTTTAGAGGGAAAGGGAAGGAGAGAGGGAGAGAAACATCAATGTATGGTTGCCTTTCGTGTGTCCCCTGCTGGGAATCGGCCTGCAGGGAACTGGCCTGCAACCCAGGAATGTGCCCTGAGTGGGAATCAAACCCCAATTGTCTGGTTCGCAGGCCCTTGTTCAATCCACTGAGCTACACCAGCCAGGGCCCATTTGTACTTCTTAATTACCTCATCGCTCACCAGTTTCTCCACACCCACCCTTCTATCTCTTTATTGTTAACCTTTGATACTTTATTGTTAACCTTTGATACTTTAATTATGGTGGTAGAAGACTGGTTTGTTGTTTTTTTTTTTAGGTAATCAAAGTCCTAATAAAGACAAAATGCACAATATATTTTGGTAAGGCAGTATTTGCTATCCAGAAAACCATATCAAAATTACAACTAACCTACAGAACCACAGACATGCTCAGCTGCTAGGTACTGAGTGCCTACCAGATGGAAAATGGCCTGCACAGCATGCAGTAAGGGACTTTAAAGTGCTGAAAGTAATCCCATTTGTCCTTCAAGAAAGACCGAGCTCCGACAGCAGCTCCTTCTGAAGGCCTTTCCTAACCAGCCAGCCCTGAAGTCAAGTTTTCCTCTGTAAAACTGTTCCATGCCTCTCCTATCCTGCTGATGCCGCTGGCTGTGTATTTTATCACCTCTTTGGGTGATTTTGTTAAATTCGACTTACTGATTTGAGACAGACGGACATCAGTTTGTTGTTCCACTTATCCCATCATTCGGAACCACCTGAAATCTAGTGGAATGGAAATCCTATAACTAAGGATACACAGAAGCCACAGGTAGACTGGTAAGAGAAGAGGAGACTGGAGTGGGCTGGTCCCGCATCCATGTGTGGCAGAGAAAAACTGGTAGGGGTTATTTAGGCTGCAGAGGTCCCAGATGAGGACCGAGGGGTCCCAGGCCCACAACAGGCCCCCCAGGCCAGGCTCCCAGTGCCAGGAAGAAAAGTTCCCATAACTTAGAGCTGTGGAAACCAGCAGAATATGAACCTAGCAAAGGAAGAAAAGACACTTTCCCCAGAGCAAGTATTCCAATCCATCTCAGACTTGCTTGCCTGGCCTCAATTCCTAAATCTGGAGTCACAGTGACTCAGCAAATCTAAAACTGACAAACCACAGTCTTTTTGTTCACCAGTTTCCAGAGCACGGAAAAATTTCCCAGGGGCTAAGAGAAGGACGAAGTCTGCCCAAACAAGCCAGGACTCCAGCAGAAACTTTCTCCTGTGTCCCGAGGCGGTGGCAGGACCCTGACCAGATGGGCGGGCCTCCCACCCGGCTCCAGGAGGCCCCACTCACCTCCCACCCCGGGAACAGCCTTCTTCCTTGTGGAGTCCCTACCCACGATCCAGACTCTCCGCCCGCTCCTCCCTAGAATTGTAGCCACCGAGAGCTCTGCCCTGCATCCCAGGGCTTGTGTGGCTGACTCCGCCTTTGCTAGGTTTCTGGCACAGTGGGCCGGGCTGGGTCCTGCCAAGTATAAAGTAGCCTCGGGTCTGTGGGCTGCACCCAAGCCTCCTAAAACCCTATCCCCTTCTCCACCTGACCTGGATCGCCCAGCAAACACCGCCCCAGGGAATCAGTGCACCACCGGAGCCATGGCTGGTGAGTGGCCCCCCGAGCACCCCTCCCCACCCCCCCAAGCCGGCCTTCCTCTGTGGCAAACCATAGAGACCCGGCCCCGAGGTTTGTGTTTTTGACTCACACCTGGAAAATCGAACGCATCAGGCGCCTGGGAGGAGCCTGACTAAACGCCAGGGGATGGGAGCCCCTATTTTTGTCTCACCCCCAACAAAATAGGTAGGCGGTTAGGAGAGACGACCTCCCTGCTGAGGTCTGAAAGTAACCACCACCACAGGGACAGAAGATACTTTGTAATGGCATAATCAATAAAATACATTATAAGAAAAAACATGCTCAGCTGCTAGACATGGTGCGCCTACCAGGTGGAAAATGGCCTACACAGCACGCAGTAAGGAACCTTAAACTACAGGTGCTGAACGTAATCCCGTTTGTCCTTCAAGAAAGACCGAGCTCCAACAGCAGCGCCTTCTGAAGGCCTTCCCTAACCGGCCAGCCCCAAAGTCAAGGTTTCCTTGTGAAACTGTCCCATGCCTCTCCTATCCTGCTAAAGCCTTTGGTTATTTGTGTAGTTTATCACCTGTCTTTGGGTAACTTTGTTAAATTCAACTTACTGATCTGAGAGCCAGAGGGAGAGACATCAGTTTACTGTTCCACTTATTTCTGCATTGATTGATTCTTGTATGTGCCCTGCCTGGCGATGGCAGGACAACCTGGTGAATCAGGACGATGATGCTCTAACCAACAAGATATCCCCCCGGGGCAGTTATATCTCTTAGAGATATATTCTTCTTGTTTGTGTCTCATATTGCATCTCTGTGTGTGTGTGTGTAATAAGCATGCCTGTAGCTAGTAGATGGTGCGCTCCTTGAAAGCACTAGGCATAGATATCCTGATTTTCTCATTTTCTGGGAAACAATTTTGTTTTACTACTTAGAAAATGCTTGTTAATACTGATAAGTAAATTGTATATATTGATAACAAGGAAGCCAAGAGAATAAAAATCAACAGAGCAGTATTCAGTAAACATTGATAGGACTAATGCAAAGTTTAGATCAGAGAAAATGCATGTCACCGCTTCATGTACTCACTTTTCTCCCAAGTGTTCAGTCTCTGAGTCAATAAGAAAGGCGCTGGAAATTTGTTGAGGCGGCTTCAGAACTTCCTTTCCATTTTCCCAGGCCTTCTGAAGCAGATAAATCACGTCCATACCACTTAAATCCTCATAGTACTTTATTCCACCAAGTCAGAGTTTATAAAATCAGCAACGCCAGGATCCAGCTCAGAGACCCTCTTTTTTGGGGCGTGTAGGGGCCTGCAGCACCCACCTGGCTGAATTTAACCTAATAGGAGCTGCCTCTGCCAGGTGTGGTTCATAACAAAAGCAGGCAGAGAACTGAAGGCTTAAATAAACGTGCCTTTCTAATCTTCTTCAAACAAGACAAAAAAAAAAAAAAGTTGCAGGTGATTTCTCTCCCGGCTCCACCCACGGTTGCCAGTTAAGCACAAGCAAGGTATGAAGCAGTGGCACCAACGGTCAGGACAAATGGTGGTGATGAGCCTCCTGTCACTGGTGCTTCTCCCCTACACCTCCCACGTTGCTGCATGACTTACTGTCTCTGTCACTATATTTTTAAATTACTCCAGCTTCCCCAATTACTATGTAAATTCAGGTAGTAACTTGCTTAATTTTTCTGTGCCTCAGTTTTCTCATCCATAGTATGGGGGGATACTAATTGTGTCTACTTCATGGGGTTACAGTGACAACGGGAAAAGAAGGCAAAGCACTTAAAGTGGTGCTGAGCGCACAATAAGCTGGCATGCATCACTCTTGTTGCCCATTCTAGCAACTTCATTAATACAGATGGCCAAGAAAAAGTTCGTCTTGCCCCTCTGCCTCTACCCCCCTGCCATCTCTTACTCATCCAAGAATTAATAGGTCATATGATCATTACACTTCTTTTTTCCCTCATGCCAATATACTGCCAATCTACCTCCATTTATGTAGCTTCCTTTTTGGGTTTTTATGAAAGTGGATTCACATTCACTTCATTTTATCAGTTAATATATCATGGCTATCTTTGTGGGTCACTGAATATAGTTAACTCATTCTTGTTAACAGCACAGTATTCTATAGTATTTAGGTACCATAACTTACTCAAATGTTCCCCCCAAATAGACTTTTGGGTTATTTGTGACTTTTGCCAATGAAAAGAATGGTGCAGTACACATCCTTGCTCCTATATCCTGATGCTTTCCGTTTGTAGTGTAGAACAGATTCCCTGAAGGTGGACAGCTAGATCAAAGATTTATGTGCCTTTAAACTCTTAAGAGATTCAGCATTATTATTTTCCCTAAAGGTTGAGGCAATTCACATTCCCTCTGGCAATGTGCCATTTTTCCTGCAATCTCAATAGCTCTCGGTGTTGTTTGCCCTAAATTGCTTTACCCATCTGATAGGTAAATAATATCTCATTTTAATTTGCTTTTCTGACAAGCCAGGCAGGGCACCTTCTCATTATTTATTGCCATTTGCATTTCCTCCTCTGTGAAGAGCGTGTTCCTATGCTTGACTTATTTTTCTGTCGCATCGACTATCTTCTAATTATTTGTAGGCATTCTTTCAGACTATAACTCTTTGTGATGAGAGTTGAGGATATCTTCTCCTAGTTGATTCTCTTTTGGTTGTTTATGGTGACTTTCAGTAAACATAATTCTTAAAAAAATGTTATGTGACTTTATCAGTCAAGCTTTTTCTTCACAGTTTCTGAATCTCTAGCCTTTCTTAAAAAGTACTCTCTATCCTGAGGTTATATACATACTCTCTTTCCTCTTATACTATTCTAATGGTTTTATTTTTTTTTAATTTAGATTGTTCATCTGCTAGTAAATCATTGTTATATGTGGTGTGTTAGTGGGATAGATTAAAACAAAAGCTTTTGTTAATACAACAGACCCACTGAAATGTGCTCAAGTTCTAAGTGAATTTTCACAAACGGAACACAGGCTTGTGTGGTCACCAATCAGACTGAGAAAGAGAACATTGCCAGCACCCCAAAACCACTTCTGTGCCCTTCTAGTTGCTACCCCAACAAGGGGAGCCACTATACTGATTTCTGTCTAACACTTTATGTTAGTCTTCTAAGGGGATAATTTTATTTTTATGCACATGGCAGATTACAGACCATCCCATTGATTAAACCAGCCTGTGTTTTCCCACTGAGTTACAGTGCCTCCTTTATTTGTTGGTACTTTTAAGGAGGAAAGATATTTCTGGCTGCAGTGGATGGATTGCATGACCTAATGTCTAACAAAGTCATCTCTTCCCTTATGGATCCCGGCTCAGCTCCCCTGTAGCTCAGGCTTTGCTAGCTGGTAACTGATTTCTTCCATATGCCCTGCATGTGTCTAAACAGCCAGAAAAGCACTGATTGTACTGGCTCACGCAGAGCGGACATCCTTCAACTATGCCATGAAGGAAGCTGCTGTAGAGGCTTTGAAGAGGAAAGGATGGGAGGTCACGGTGTCGGACCTATATGGCATGAACTTCAATCCCGTCCTCTCCAGAAAGGACATCACAGGTAGGAGCAGCTCCCTCTAATTAGGTCTTTGTGGAACTTCTGGCCTGCGGGTTCTCTGGTCCTGCCTTGGCCCCGTGGCATCAGTCTCTCTTTTTCCTCTCTGCAGGTGAACTGAAGAACCCCGAGAACTTTCAGTATCCTGCCGAGTCTACTCTAGCTTATAAAGAGGGCCGTCTGAGCCCAGATATTGTGGCTGAACAAAAGAAGCTGGAAGCTGCAGACCTTGTGATTTTTCAGGTGTGGTGGGACAGCAAGGGGGATGTCAGGACACGTGAGTTCTTATTGTCCTAGACCTGCCACCTAAGAAGCCGTGTGGTCTTAGAAAAGTCACTTACCCCCTTTGCTGCATTCTCTGTAAAGAAAGGTGATTACTTCAAATGTGCATTACACAGATTTACAGGTACTGTGAATCAGGCTGTATTACTCTGTGAAAATATGAATGCGACTTTAAAGATGACATGTCCGTCTTAAGCTTTTCTTCCCAGTGTGTTTAATCTTTTTTTCAATTAATTATTCTTTTTTATTTTAATTTTTCAATTTCAGTTGACATTCAATATTATATTAGTTTCAGGTGTACAACGGAGTGATTAGATCCATTTATATACCTTACAAAGTTCCCCCCCGCCCCGTAAGTCTAGTACCCATCTGGCACCATACAAAGTTATTACAATATTATCGACTATATTCACCCTGCTGTGTTTTAGATTCTTTGACTATTTTGTAACTGCCAGTTGGTACTTCTAATCCCTTTACCTTCTTCACCCTGCGCCCCAACTCTCCTCCCCTCTGGTCTGTTCTCTGTAACTATGAGTCTGTTCCTATTTTATTTGTTCATTTATTTTCTTTTTTTAAGATTTAATTTATTTATCTTTAGAGGGGAAGGGAAGGAGAAAGGAAGAGAAATATCAATGTATGGTTGCCTTTCATGTGTCCCCTGCTGAGAATTGGCCTGCAGGGAACTGGTCTGCAACCCAGGCATGTGCCCTGACTGGGAATCGAACCACGACTGTCTGGTTCGCAGGCCCGTGCTCAATCTACTGAGCTACACCAGCCAGGGCTATTTATTTTCTTATTTAGATTCCATATATAACTGAAATCATATGGTATTTCTTATTTCACTTAGCATAATACCCTCTAGGTCCATCCATGTTGATAATATTCTATTGTATATATGTACCATATCTTTATTATTATTTTTAAACTGAATCTTTTTTTAAAAGATTTTATTTATTTATCTTTAGAGGGGAAGGAGGGAGAGAAACATCAATGTATGGTTGCCTCTAGTGCATCCCCTGCTGGGAACTGGCCTGCAGGGAACTGGCCTGCAACCCAGGCATGTGCCCTGACTGGGAATCGAACCATGATCCTCTGGTTAAGTCCTGTACTCAATCCACTGAGCTACACCAGCCAGGGCTCTATATATGCACCATATCTTTATATTATATTATATTATATTATATTATATTATATTTATTTATTTATTTATTTTTAGAGAGAGGGGAAGGGGGAGAGGAAGAGAGGGAGACAAACACCAATGTCTGGTTGCCTCTTGCACTCCCCCACAAATAGAGACCTGGTCCGCAACCCAAGCATGTGCCCCGACTGGGAATTGAACCGGCCACCCTTTGGTTTACAGGCCGGTACTCAATCCACTGACCCAATTGGCCAGGGCCCATATCTTTTAAAACTGATTTTTGAAAGAGAGAAAGAGGAGGAGGGAAGGAGGGAGAGAGTGAGATTGATTTGCTGTTCTACTTATGTATGCATTCATTGGTTGATTCTTATAAGTACCCTGACCAGGGATTGAACACACAACCTTGGTGTATTGGGATGACACTCCAACCAACTGAGCTACCCAGCCAGTGCTGTACCATATTTTCTTTATCCATTTTGTCTACTGATGGACACTTAGATTTCTTTCATATCTTGGCTGCTGTTAATAATGCTGCGGTGAACCAATGAGATCCATCATGAAATGTCTAACAAAGCCTGCACTTCTCCTCTCTCTCTGTAAGCACCCCGACTAACTAGTTTGGGGAGTGATTTATGAGACTGACTTCCCTGCTGCTGAAGCTTCCCAGTCAATATGCATTGTCCTACTCCATGTGTTTCAGCAGCAAACGGTGGCCTTTCTTCTGGAAGCTGCCCACCATTTAGCAGTCAGTACCAGAAATGTGTATGCTTCTTGTCAGTCATGTTTTTTTTTTTTTGAAAAATACCAAACTGTATTCAATGACTTCTACCAGTTCCAACTATCTTCTTCACCTGAACATTGAATGTATATGACATTGGAAATGTCACTAGAAGGATGATAATGGCTGTGGTTTTTGCAATTATTCAGTCATCTGTAAAGAATCCAAGCTTTGAATTCTCATTCTACTCCAGGCCGGTTGCTATGAATCAAAGCCACACCATTAGCCATGAAGGATGTCTTCTCGGCCCAGGTTGTCTACTGCATCTTATCCCAGTGCAGCCAAGGCAGCAGCACCAGCAGCAGCAGCAGCTCTCCATTTTGCATCTCAGAACCACCATAGTCTAGAACTGGAAAGGACTTTGGTGGTCGTTAAATTTAGCTTCTATCCAGTGCATGTTTTCTTTACTATCAGTACAACTGTGCAGGTTGTCACTACAAAATAGCAACATACTAAAGGGTCGTGTAAACGCTGCAGATTTGTATATTTATTTTAACAGTTTCCCAACAGTGGACAGGAAAATCCCTATTCTAGAAAAATCATTGTACTATGTAGGACAGTATTTCAATGTGGAGATAAGAGTCCTGGGAAGAAGTGCTTTAACTTATTCCAAAGTGCCACAGGGGCTGGCCTTCTGCTCAGTTTACTCACTTCTCCAAAAACAACTTGAGGGAGAGTAAACTCTTAATACCCTGTAAGCCAACGAATTCGATTTTCAACTCTGACTGCAGTACACTCACAGGGGAGGAAATCTGGCCTAAATATGCTCCCCGTTCTTCCTAAAAGCTGAGATCTGGCCCCTCACAGTTGGAGAGTCTTAAATGTGAGAATGGGAGAAGCTACTAGAGGTCCCTCCAGCCACTGTTTTTATAGTTGAAGCAAATGAAACTTAGAGAATGTCTGGGTCTTGTGTGGCAAAGGTCAGGCATCAAGTTAGTGACAGACTGGGGGTGAGAACACAACTCACTTGCAACCCGATGTTCTTTCTGTTCGAAAACCCTTCTTTCTTAGCCCCTCTTCAGTAGGTCAGCAACCCTTCAAAGAGAGAGCTATTGAGTCATACAAAGTCCCTGTGTTTTATTTTTCTTCTGGGCTGGTCCCAGTTGTCACAGCCTTTAAGTCAAGGGTTAGAGAGGAGAAATACTGGTATAGTTTTTCCACTGCTTTTATCAGGACAAAAGGCCCAGCATGACTTTCTCATGGGAATTCCCTGATAACCCTTAGTCACACTGACCATTTGTTTATAAATTTGAGTGGTTCTGTTTATTCTAACTGATAGGATTTTACATCCCTGAGCACAAGGTACATGCTTCAACATTTTGATACCACACCCACTTAAAAGCGAGCTCTTGAAGAAATATTGATATAGGCATCACACATTGAAGCACTTTGTCTGCAGTCCTTGCTGTCTAAACTTCATTGTCAAATGCTCTTTCATAGAAGAAAATCTTACCTGTGTGTGGCCTTCTTCAGACCTACCTGCAACTTTAGACAGAAACAAGAATGTCAAGTTGACTGACCAAAGATAATACTTATCCTTAAATGCACTATTTCCTGCAGGAGGGATGACAAGGGCCTGAAGAAAGAAAGGCTTGCCCTTCAGTGAGGTCCCACTAAGTGCTGCCACAGTGAGGCCTCCTGTGCTGCAGGTGCTCCTGACCTGACCTCTCTGTCATTCATTCCAGTTCCCACTGCAGTGGTTTGGAGTCCCAGCCATCCTGAAGGGCTGGTTTGAGCGGGTATTTATCAGCGAGTTTGCTTACTCGTATGCTGCCTTGTATGACAAGGGACCTTTCCAGGTAGGTGGCTGGTTCTTTTTTTTCCCTAACAGCTGGGTGCTGGGTAGATTCGGTCCTGAGATAGACTTTTGAGCACAATTAGATACTAAGGTCAGCCTCCAGGTCCTTTTGGAAGAGAAGCATAATGAAGTTTTAATAGATACTATGATGTGATGTTTAGGCTTTGTTTTAAAATGCCCCAGGAAAAAGAGGTAAGAGGATTAGCTAAAACTTGAATGGCAAAATACTGAGAGATGAAACTGGGTGGTAGATGTATCTTTATACAGCTGACCCTTGAACAATATAGGTTTCAACTGCCTGGGTCTACTTATATGTGGATTTTTTAAAAATAAATACTGTGTGTTTTCTCTTCCTTATGTTTTCTTTTCTAAACCTTGCTTTATTGTGAGAGTGCAGTATATGGTACATTTAACATACAAAATATGTGTCGACCACTTAACATACAAAAATGTGTCGACCACTGTTTATGTTATTGGTACGGCTTCCAGGCAACAACAAGCTGTAGTTAAGTTTCGGGGCAGTCAAAAGTAATAGGTGAATTTTTGACTGTGTGGGGTGGCGCCCCTACCGCTTGCATTGTTCAGTGGTCAGCTGTACTATTTTATGTTTGAAATTTACCACAGTAATAGTCTGTCTTCATTTTTCAGAGACCCAAGTACTGCTCAAGAAACATTTTGAGACCTAGATTATGTGCCTAGATACATGCATAGCACTTTGGGGAGACAGAATAAAACAATCAAAAAATAACTTCCCCTAGGCACAGGCAGTCAGCACTGATTTTGCATTTCTATGCCAACCATCCCTGGATTTGCCACACCCAGGAATATGGAACCCTTGTTCTAAAGGGTTGTAAAAGCCTGCCCGTGCTCACCACCTGTCTGTGGTTCCATCTTCTAGGCTGGTACTTGGGTAGTATCACACTGTGTGGCTCTGAGGAGCCAGTGTGGGAAGTAATGTCAGTAACAGATGAGTGGACTTGCGGTTCTCTTCCCTGGGGCTGTTTCATGAACTTCCTGCCACCAAGGAGATGTGCAGGGTAATGACTTATCTTTTGCAGAATAAGAAGGCAGTGCTTTCCATCACCACTGGTGGCAGTGGCTCCATGTACTCTCTGCAGGGTGTCCATGGGGACATGAATATCATTCTCTGGCCAATTCAGGTACTTCAATTTCAGTGAACCTTCGGGGGGATTAATTAATTGAGCTTCCTCTGGGGTCCAAATCCTCAAGATAACAACTGAAAACAGACCTGTGGTGAAAGCATAGTAATGCTTCCTTCTAAGACTTACCTGCCTTCCCAGGTCCTCATGCTTACAGAGTAACCCACCTGTGCCGGCATCACACACCACTCTCTCCTAACCAAGGACTAGTGAGGATAACCCTGAAAGCCACATGGTCTGATTCTCTTTAGATGGCTAATATCCCTCTCCAACCTTCCTGTCCTCCAAGTTGCTGCTACAGTCCCACAGACTATTAGAGCCCCCCAAAATTTAAAAAAATGCTTTAGTTCAGCTAGTAACACTGAAGTCTGAAGTGTGCTTTGTGGTGGCTACTAGGCTCTCAGGATGTAGGAGAATTAATATTACTCTGGGAGAATAAGTGATAAGGAACATGGTTGAGAGCTGTCTGCTTCTATGGAAAGACAGAGAAGGCACAGCGGCAACTCTCCCTTAGGGAACAGAACTTCTGGCACTTTTGGCAGAGAGTCCTAGGCTGGCACAGTTGCAAGGTTTTATTCACATAAAGAAGAGCACAACTGAATAGGCTAAAATAGGTAACGGCTAGGTATGGAGAGCAAAAGTTGATAGAATACAGCTCTGAACTGATCTCCAGGGTGCCCCAGGCCTCCACTTCGGAGTATCTTGTTGGGGAGACCCAGATTAACCTTTGCAGTTTGTATAGGCTACAAGCTGTTTGGGGTTTCTGCTGTGACTCACCTTTGTGCTTTGTGCATCCCCAGAGTGGCACTCTGCATTTCTGTGGCTTCCAGGTCTTAGAACCTCAACTGACATACGGCGTTGGGCACATTCCTGCAGATGCCCGAACTCAGGTCCTGGAAGGCTGGAAGAAACGCCTGGAAAATATTTGGGACGAGACTCCACTGTATTTTGCTCCAAGTAGTTTCTTTGACCTAAACTTTCAGGCAGGATTCTTAATGAAAAAGGAGGTCCAGGAAGAACAGAAAAACAAGAAATTTGGCCTCTCTGTGGGCCATCATTTGGGCAAGTCCATTCCAACTGACAACCAGATCAAAGCCAGAGAATAAGATTCATAAGACTTGATTTCTTTCTAACATGTAGCCAAAACTTTAGGTTTCTTTTTCAGGCTTCCTTGACTTGCTATAGTTTTTAAGATTTGTGTTTTCCTTTTTCCATGAGGAATGCGTAGGACAAAGAATAGATAACTGATACATTTTTTGGATCGTTCTATTAAACATAACTGATTCTTACAGTTGCTATCATGGCAAAGTCTGATTAGGCTCAAGAGGCCACTTAAGGTGTAAAGCACGGAAAGGTATAGCAAGATGTCAGACAAATTCTGTAAGGTCCTCTGTACTATTTAATCCCTTTTAAGGATAAATCTGACTAGGAAGCATCCAACTCTCTGTAGTTTATGGCAAAAGGGAGTTGTCCAGAGAAAGCAATGACTGAATCTGTCTGACCTAGGGGACTTGTTTAGTAATCAGTAATCTATGCTTATTTGTGATAATCTTGGTCTTAATTACTACATAGTGACTGACTTGCCTAATATGAGTGTTACTCTTCCTTTAACTTTGGTTGCTGGTATACAGTACACACAGGTACACTGAAATGAAGTTAATAAAAGTCTCCTTTACCTCAATCTTCTACTTTAATGTCTACAGAAATGAAACAACACGTCTGTATACTACAATTCACTATGATGAATGAATTCAAGAAAGGAAACAGTGCCCCAATTCTTAAAAGAGACTTCCCAAAACACTGCTTTATTTCTGACCTGTGTAACCATCTGGAAGGTTTATTCCCTGTATCATGGTTAAACTGATGACTTTTAAGAATATATTTTGCTCCCATGACTTTTGGGATAAAGTTTTAAGTCTAGAGTTTCATTTACTTTGGTGAACAATTTTGGCACAATATTCTAATTTTGCATGTAAATTGTTAAGGGTAGCTGTATACATAGTTGGTGTAATTCAAGTAGAATTACTTGAATGTGATGAAAGACTGCCCTCTTGTTGATGGAAACCTCTTTGCATCAACAAATGATGCAAAGCAAGGTTGCCTGAAACTGGGAATAGATTCATACCTGCCAAGGAAATGATGGTGTCAGTCTGGAGAAACTCGTTTGCCAGATGCCAACAGGCACTGGGTAGTTCTTCCTTCTGAAGTATCCGCAGTGACATGGCTTGGTGCTTCAGTTTGAAAATACTGTCTTTTGCCTTCATCCTCCCTGCAGTCCTATGTATGTTTCTAAAAGTTCCAAATGAAATAAAATCCATTTCTGCAAAACAAACCCACACTTCTTTGGTTTTGGTAAAGCTTGAAATAGAAGCATTCAGGCAAAAGTGGACTCTACTGGGGAAGATACAATGACAGGATTCAGTAATAAATTATGGCCAGAAGCCTATAAGGTAACTTGGCTACAGAGTTTGCCCAACAGGGGCTGGTTCATACTGAATGGTAATGAAACACTGATTAAGATCCTCTTGGGGAATTTAAAGGACATTTGAAGAGATTCAGGAAAGAGTGTGGTGTAGAAACCAAGAAAAACAATGCAGTAAATAAACGTCAAGGGGCAGTATTTATTCTGACTTGCCCAACTTATTCATATTTATCCAATTAATGGGCTTGGCATTTGGAAATGTAGCAAAGTGGCCACCCTCATGGAGTTCACATTCTAATGAAGAATGATAGATGAACATATATGTCAAGTGGTGATAAATACCAGGAAGAAAAAGAGTAGGAGGGGTTAGTGACGGGATACGAGGAGTCTTGTTTTATACAGGGTGATCAAGAAAGATTTCTCCCATAAGGTTGCATTTGGAGAAAGACGATAAACTGGGAGGGCAAGCTGTGTTGGAATCTGAAGGAAGCACGCTCCAGGCTGGAGTAATGTGAGTGCAAACCCTGAGGCAGGAGTACTTAGTACGTTTGAGGAAGCAAAAGGAAGAGAAAGATGCCTCAAGACACATGGCTGGGGTCAGATTACATAGGGCCTTATGAGCATTGTGAGAATGTAAAGAGAGGAAGTCACTGGTGGGTTTTGAGGAGAGGTGTAGCAGAATCTGGTATGTTTAATTCTGGCTGGTATGTGAGCACTCTAATATAAGGGGTGATACAAGCAGGGAGAAATTTTGGAAGCCGTCACAGTCTACATGTTTCGAGACCAGGGTGATGTGTTCAAAAGTGGTTGGATTCTGGATATATTTCAAAGATGAGAGTAACTGATTTATTGATGGATTGGATCTAAGTCAGATTTTTTAAAAAAAGCCTGAAAGGTATTTGGTTTAAGCAATGGGAAGAATGGAGATTCCATCTGCTAAGTTGAGGAAGAATTTGGAAAGGTTATTGGGGGCAGGAGTTGGGGAGGGTGGGGCGGGTGGAATCAAAATCTGACTACAGACATACTATGCTTGAGATATCTACTAAGACAGCCAAGTGAAGCTGCCAAGTAGGCAGGCAGTTGGATAATAAGGAAATCTGGAGTTAAAGAAGAAATTATGACTAAAGATACACATTTGGGAATCTTCAACATATGGATAATATATATATAAAGCAATGAGACTGGATGAGATCCCCTAGGAATTGAGTTATAGTGGAAGAGAGGTCTGATGATTGACATCTAGAAGATGAGAATGAAAACAAGTGGCCAGTGAAGCCAGAGGACTGAGTGGGGTTTCCTCAAAGTCGAGTGAAGAAAGTGTTTCAAGGAGAGAGTGATCAAGTGTGTCAAATACTGCTGATAAGCCAAGTAAGACAGGCTTGAGAATTGACCTTTGGATATGGAAATGTGAAGGCCATTGGGGGTTTTGACAAGAATCAGTTCAGTAGTGTTGTGATGAAAGCCTGATTGGAATGAGTTCAAGAATAGAAGGAGAGGAACTGGAGTGTATGGGGGATGTGTGATCAAAGGAAGTTACTTATTTGATTTTGTAAGAGATAGGGGACACTTATATGCCAGTGGGTATGACTTAGAGGAAAGGTTTTGATGTTGGAGAAAGGGGACAATTAAAGGAACATGTCTTTGAAAAAGCAAAAGGATATCAGATCCAGTTCACAAGAGACAGAAGAACAGAGTAATGACACAACTAGTAATACTAATTAATAAAAGTTAATAGTTATTAGGCATTTACATGTACAAGGAACTAAGTAACTTTACACTGATTAATTTACTTAATTCTTATAAATACTCTTAAGAGGATGGTCCTATTTTTGTTTCTACTTTGTAGATAAGGATATTGAGGAATGGAGAGGTTAAATAGTAGGTGTAGAAGCCAAAGCTCCACCCAGGAAGGCAAACTCAAGAGCCTGTGCTTTTAAATATTACATTGCCTCAGCAGAAGCAGGGATGATGGCACCATGAATGAGCTAAAGCACAGAGCAGAGGTCAATTTCTGTCCCTGACAGCTAAGTGCTGCTGCTGAGAAACTAGCTGCTTTTATACTTCCAGAGCCCCTGCTGTGTGCTGAGCAGGGTACTGGTGCTCCAGTTTTTACAGGTCTGGTTATAGGGCTGCTGGGAATTTGCTCCTTTCAAGATGACAGCACAGTACTCTTACTGGCCTGGAGTAAAGCAAGACAGCTGCTTCCCTTCCTCCAGACACTGACTTGAATTCTATAACCCAGGATGGCATCAGCTTTTCTGGCAGCCACTTGCAGTCTCAGCTTCAGATCGGTCTTTTGCTCACATATGCTGGGTTTTTTTTTTTACCAAAGTATTTTTGATATTTATAATTATTAAATTTTATTTGGTTATTACTCCTTTCCAGTGCTATTGAAGTCAATAAATGCCAAAAGACAACTTTTAAACATATAATTCATATAATCCTCCTAAAGTGACAAGTCACTTAGATATATTTGGATATGTTAACTCAGTCACTTCCGAGACTTCCGCCAAGATGGAGGCATAGGTGGATATGCCGTGCCTTCTCACACAACCAAGTTTAGAGACAAATAAATATTAGCAACAGAAAACACAGCCAGAACACAGAAAATTGAACTTTTCGGAAGTCTGTTAACAACAAATTCTTCAGCCTGACCAGTAAGGGGCGAAACCAGCAGCTGGTGGAGAGGGGTTGCACAGGAAAACTTGGTTGGACAGACTCGGGCGTGCGGAACCCAGGCGCAGGGTTGGACCTAGTGAGCGACCAAGCGAGCGACTGCAGGGAAACAGCGAGGGAGCAGGGCTGCAGGTTGACTGTGGTCACGCATTTGTGCGCGGATAGACAAGCGAGGGAGTGGGCGGTTGGACCGGGGCCCGGCAGGTCCAGCGGCAAGCGGCAGTGGAGGGCGCCGCCATTTCCCTGCTCTGACCACGCCCCCACATACAGCGTCACAACCCAGCGTCCTGGGAGTCCAAGGCTTCGCTTCTCACACTTAACGGGCCAGAACAGACCAAAAATGGCTCAAGAAGATCTCAAAGCCCCAGAGCCTATAAATCTAAGCAATGAAGAAACAGCAAAACTCTCAGACACAGTTTAAAACACTGGTCATCAGGATCCTCATAGAACTGGTTGATTATAGCCACAAATTAGACAAATATATGAAGGCGAAACTAATTGAAATGAATGGAATTGCACAGGAAACCCATAGCGATGAAAAGGAAACTGGGACTCAAATCAATGGAGTGGACCAGAAGAAAGCAAATAATGGCCAAACAGAAAAGAGTCAAGAAGCAAGAATTCAAAGAAATGAGGAGAGTCTTAGGAACCTCCAGGACATCTTTAAATGCTCCAACATCCAAATTATAGGGGTACCAGAAGGGGGAAAGGCACAGCCACCAGTGGAAAACTTATTTGAACAAATAATAAAGGAGAATTTCCCCAATCTGGCAAAGGAAATAGATTTCCAGGAAATCCAGGAAGCTCAGAGAGTCCCAAAGAAGTTGGACCCAAGAAGGAACACACCAAGGCACATCATAATTACATTAGCCAAGATTAAAATGAAGGAGAGAATCCTAGAAGCAGCAAGAGATAAGGGAACAGTCACCTACAAAGGAGTTCCCATCAGACCGTCAGCGGATTTCTCAAAAGAAACCTTACAGGCAAGAAGGGGCTGGAAAGAAGTATTCCAAGTCATGAAATCCAAAGACCTACAGCCAAGATTGCTCTATCCAGCAAAGCTTTCATGTAGAATGGAAGGGCAGATAAAGTGCTTCTCAGATAAGATCAAATTCAAGGAGTTCATCATCACCAAGCCCTTATTATATGAAATGTTAAAGGGACTTATCGAAGAAAAAGAAGTTAAAAAAACAGGAACAGGGAAAGGACAGCAAACTCACAGTTATTAACAACCACACCTAAAACAAAAGCAAACTAAGAGGACAGCTAGATCAGGAGCAGAACCATAGAAATGGAGATCACATGGAGGGTTAGCAACAGGGGAGTGGGAGGAGGAGAAGGGGGGAGAAGGTACAGAAAATAAGTAGCATAGACAGTAGATAGAAAATAGATGGGGGGGGCAAGAATAGCATGGGGAATATAGAATCTAAAGAACTTGAGACACATGGTCATAAACTAAAGGGGGGTAATGGTGGGGATGGGAGGTAGGGTGGAGGGGAATGAAGGGGGGGAATAGAACAACTGTAACAGCATAATCAATTAAAAAAGACAAAAAAAACCTCAGTCACTTCCAAAAATCAACAGACACCATCTATATCTGATAAGAAGGTATATAAGTATATTATCTAAAGCAGTACTTCTAAACATCAGTTTCTACATGTTATAATTGTGATACCCACGTATCATCTGTGTTAGTATTCATTTAATATTTTTCTTTAATTTGACTCTAGTAGTGTACCTATTAGACTATGAGTAGTCTAGTAGATATACACATATTTTTTCTAATGCACATTAAAACGTACACGATGGTTAAAAATAGTGTTTCCCATGTATCACCTGAAATAATTTTGAATACCACCTGTGGTATGTTGTTACATGTTTCATTCTTGTAAACGCTAATTTATACATGGGAAAACTACCAAAAGAATAAAGAGATCGGGAATGTGGGTGAGGGAAACCTGGTGTTCTTCAAAAGCACCTCCACGCTACATGATTTGCTGCCTTGTGTATCTACTATTTTACTAAGCATGAAACATTTAAACTAAGGAAAACAAAAATTCTGTCACATGAAGCACTTTGTACACTGTAGGCACAAAATAACCACTTGAAAATGTTTTTATATTTCATACCTTTTCCTAATGATGTTATCATTTCAGCCACATACTCATGCTACTCAAAACTGGCATTCATGGATGTGAATTCATCCACAGAGTTTGAGGAAAAAAGACAGTACC